CTGCTATAGTCCCAAGGATAAGAAGCAAAACTTCCAAGCCATGGGCATGAAATTCTAGCTGGGCTTCTGTTGGTTATCATTAGCTGGTCTCTCAGCTGTTCAGCAAAGAATATTTGTAAATCCATGCCAAAGTAATAAATATAATGAAAAGCTCTGTCTTTTTCCCCAGGAACTAGTAGGCTTTTTTTTTTTTTTTTTTTTTCTGGTACACAATGTGAAGTTTGCATTGTTTTCCTGCTTGTTTTGGCAGCCAGGAAGCACAGAGCTAATTTTGTAATTTAATTTTAGAAACCATATAGGACCTACATATCCAGATACTCTTTTCCCAAATAAATACATTTTATGTATTTATTTTCCAGTCCTGATTTTTTTGTTGTTGTTTTAGATGTTCATGTAAGCTGCCTCAGATCCTTTGTAAAATTAGGTAGGGCATAACTGTATAAAGATAAATATTCCCCCAACCTGCACTAATATTTTTGGGTCATCTTTGCAGCCTTTGCGCAAAAAATCTGCTCAGTTGCTGAGCTAATATTGGCTAGATTAAATGAGGAGGAACTCTTGGAACTTACAGAAGCTAGGCAGTAAATTTAACACTCATGTAACTCATTAAAGCTGGATAAAAGTGGAGCTTCAAACGTGTTCATGTTTGCCATCAAGCCTGAACAGGGACGGGTTACCCTTAATTCAGCTAAGGATATGAAAGTCTGATCTCTCAGAATTGAGAATATACCACAGAAATTAAAGACTTGTCTGTGTAGATAAGCACCCAACTGTGTTCAAAGAAAGATGGAGATGCTAACTACACAAGGATAGGATTTTTCTTTAAGCTTAGGGTACAGTTATCTTGACTCATAAAATGTAGTTTGGTAAAAGCAAACTTCCTTATCAAAGAGCATAAGCACAAAATTGGATGGTAAATTTTATTTTTGGTCATAATTATTTTTAAATTAAAATTTGCTATTGGTTGAGATCACTGTGTAAATGGTTTTCAAACTGCATTCCATGGCTGGTGCCCTATGGACTGCAAAAGTACCTGAGATGTGGGAGGCCGGAGAAGGCCACCAGGCAAGGGGAGCCCAGCCACCACCACCCTGCCCCCAGCTCCCACCAGAGCAGAGCTCTCTGTGTCAGGGCTCCTTTTGCAGAAGGTTCTATCTGAATAAAGGGTTGCTCTCCTAAAAAATAAAAGTTTGAAAATCATCCCATTGAAGGGCATATTTCACTAACTTGCTGTTGAAGTATGAATGTCACTGATATGGAAGGGTTGAGAGGGGGTTGGAATCCAACCTTTGGTTTTTGCTGCCTCCTACCCCCTCTGTGACTTTGGGGGATGATTCTTCTTCCTCCCTGAAACAGCTTCCTCATCCATAGGACAGAACTACTAATGAGGATTAGGTAAATTAGCAGATGTGGAAGCTCTGCCGAAAGAACTCGTCTCTCTCACTCCCTGTCTCTGATCCTCCTCCTCCCTCTGCATTGACCAGGAGGAACCCATCACCTTCTGCGAGGAAGCCTTCGTGTCCCACTATCGCTCCGGAGCCATGAGGCAGTTCCTGCAGAATGCTACGCAGCTGCAGCTCTTCAAACAGGTGCCTAGCCCTCCCAAACATGGACTGTGTCTGGCTTCCTAGCGGGATTTCTGCAGCTGTCTCCACTCTAAGCATGAGGCTGAAGGCCTGGATGGGAGTCAGGCTCCAGACTAAAGTGGCTCATGGGAGGTGGGCTGGGTAAAGAGGGTGTCCAGCTACCAGACAAACCCTTTGCAAATATGCCATGCGGTTTTCCAGGTTACCATAAACACAGAGCCAGTTTTTAGAAACTTGCTTATTGAAACTCACTTTTTGAAAACACAGTTTCAAAGGACATTTCCTATCCCGGAAAACATAGCTGTTCTTTAGTTGTACACTAAGGTGCCCAGCTGAATGGCTGCCCCCCTATTTCTTTGTACAAGCTGTTCTGCTTCTGTTCTTTCTTTCTATAGTTTATTGATGGTCGATTAGACCTTCTCAATTCTGGTGAAGGTTTCAGTGAACAAGCTGTTCTGCTTCTGTTCTTTCTATAGTTTATTGATGGTCGATTAGACCTTCTCAATTCTGGTGAAGGTTTCAGTGATGTTTTTGAAGAGGAGATCAACATGGGCGAGTATGCTGGTGAGAAGCATTTCATTTTCCTTTCTGGGTTGTGGCTGCTATAGATTAGGGTGTGTTTGGCAAGGAGTGGCAGTGACTTCTTTTTTTCTTTATTGGGAGTTAGGAAGAGACTGATTTCAGCCTTGGCCTTGAAATGTTTGGGGAATTCCTCTTCACTTTCTGACACACATTGGCCCAAGTGAAGTCCTCTGGCTTGAGGTCAGTTGCTTCCCCTGGGGAGACAAAGTTCAGTTAAACAGAGTGGCCAGCGTCATCCAGCGGAAAGCACACAAGATATCGAATTAGGAGACCTGGATGCAGATCAGGACTCTGCCTCCTTGCTAGCTGTGAGGCCTTGGTCACGTCATTTCACCTCTTTTAGCTAAAGTTTTCTTATCTATTCACTGAGAGTAACATTGCCCACCTCGCAGGATTCCTGCTGAGATTAAATCAGAGTCAATATGGAAAAGTTTGTACAGTCACCCAAGACAGTCCCTGGCACAGGGTAGGTGTGCAGTCAGTTTTCTTTAAAATATGAGCATCATTGCCTGTGCCTGATCTCTGCAGACCTGTGGAACTGGAGGGATTATCCTCTCATTTTTGAGAGGTGGCATCTGAGGCCCAGAGAGGTGTTAGTGGTTGACCCTGCCTCATGAATCCCAGTCTGGTCTTCTTTCCAAATCCCATAGCATCAGTCTTTCACAGCAAAGTCAGAACAATGATAATGCAAAATAATAATAATCATGTTGCTGGCCCCCTCTTATTGCTGGTTATGTGCCTGGTCTGGACTATTCTGATAATCCAAATGGCAGTTTGCAAGCTCACAGAGCCAGACACAGCATCCACCAACGGGTATTACAGGTCCTACCAGCCTATGCTGATTAAGAAAACCAGTGTGGAGGAGTCTACAGATAGTAATAGTGGATCATTGATAGGCATTTCTTCAACATCTTCTGTGTCCAGAGGCCACAGGGTAAAAAATGGAAGACCCAGTTCTACTTAAGGAACTTTTAGCTGAGTAGGAAAGAGAGATACATAACTGAAGACACATAAAAATTCAACCAATGCAGGAAAAGGAGTAGAAACAGGTTTCAGTGCAGTTAGATTAGGGCTCTATTAATTCTCACTGCATAAAATGAGAACTTGACAAAGGAAGGAGGGTTTGAGTTGTGTTCTAACAGTTGAATTTGAGTTCCAAGCGGAAGACAGGCTTTATGTGTTGCTAAACTAAGTTTAGTCATTCAGAGCTTCTAAAAAAGCTGTGTACTGATGAGACCTCCTTATTCCACCAGATAAAGTGAACAGAGTTCACCAACGACCATTTTTTTTCCCCTCTCACTATTCAAGTGTATTGAGGACTGGGTGTGGGACACACAGCCCTGGGGGTGCTTGCTCTTATGTGGCTCACAGTACTTCTAAATGGGTGTTACCTGTTCTACAGGGCTGTTCACAGGACAGAGTAAAGAGAAGCTTCCAGAGGAAATGACACCTGTGCTGGTTGTTGAGGTTACTAAGCAGAGAGAGTAGGGAATGGTGACCAGGCAGGGGAACAGCATTTGCTGGGGCCTGGAGGGCTGAGAGCGCTTAGGGCACTTTAGCAGTTTCTCATGATTGGAGCCTCAGGTAGTGCAGAGGGTGGTGAGGCCATGGGATGAGACTGGAGAAGGGGGGAGGGGTCGAAGGCATCTGACTTCTATCCAGTAGGCCATGGGGAGGGAGGCTTTTGAAGGTTTGCCCTCGGGCACTGATGTGATCAGCTCTCTGAGAAAGAAAACCTGGGGCTGTGACTCGCTGCTGCCTCCTTCAGGGAGCGGACATGGGAGCCTCCACGGGAGCCTCCAAGGGAGCCTCCACGTGGTTCTCCAGATTTTGACTTTTCCAAGTCCTGCATGCTGGAAACAACTTAAAGAACTCCTGAGGGCAAGTGATTTCTTTAAATAACAGCCTCTGTGACTTCTTCCGCAGGTAGTGATAAGCTGTACCACCAGTGGCTCTCCACAGTCCGGGTAAGTGCACCCTCCAGAGCCACCGGGCCTCTCCTTAGCCTCTCGGCAGCCCTCTGCTTCCCCATCCACCCACAGGGCTGCCCTGAGGCCGAGAGCACTCCATTCTCACAGCTGGAGATGCTTTTGTTTTTAAAACCAGGCCATTCTCATTCTCTTCTAGCCAGGTGAAGACTAGAAGAATGGGACTGTAAGTCTTCCCTTAGTGAGGGTAAAGAGAGGCAGGAGAGGCTTCCTCCTCTTCAGGAAGCCAGCCAGGCAGTGTTGAATGGAATGTTGTCACCTTAGAGTATTCTGGGGGCCTCCTTCTAGGACCAGTGCAATTATCACGAACATGGGAAAACCAAAAATGTGTTCCTCTTGCTGCTATGCATTATTTTTCACAGGAAAGGCTCCTGGGAAGATGGAGGAGATGTCACTGAGAGATATTTTTTTAATCCCCTCACAATTTCTTATTGTGTCGGGAGCTGGCCACTTAGGGCTTCCAAAGCTGCTGAAGAATTCAAACTCTTGCCTTTCATCAGTGAGTCTGTACTGAAGGCCTACTGTGTGCCAGGCACTATGCTGGGGACTGGGGATACAGCGGACACAGGCCCTTCCCCGGGGAGCTCCCCATCTTGTTGGGGAGGCAGACACGTAAACAGGCGACTCCAGCATAACATGATAAGTGTTCTCTCCTGCTTGTGGGCCAAATGTGCTGCTGCCGAGGCGGGTCCCTTGGAAGTGGCTGCAGTTGGCCGAGAGTAAGCAATTCCTCGATGAAAGGCAGCCTTTGTTCTTCTCGTATGGCCAAACACAGCGCTTGGCAAGTCAGAGACAAGCAATAAGGACTTGTTGATTGATTGATAAAGGGAGTTTCAATGCTCCAAAGGACCATTTAAGTAGGATTCTGAGTAATTTTGGAAAGCAGCATGGAATAAATGAGTGGGTGAAAATTTCCTATTGTCCCACAACACAATGCTTTCTAGGTCAAATTATAATGTTTTTAATTAAAGTTCAATATTTCTAATGCAAGCAGTTACCAAAAATTGTGCTGTAAGTTAAGGCCAATAATTTCATTACTGTATCTTATTCTCTTATATTCCCACTGGTTCCAGTCTCTGCATTCGAATCTGTTGGAATTATCTTTCCAAACCACCACATGTCTGATTATGCAATGCATTTGATTAAAAACCCTCCAGAGCGTAGACCCCTTAGCCTGGCATTCTGGGCCCTTCCTGAGCTGACCCATCTGGCCTCCCAGCCTCTCTTCCCACTCCTTCCATGATACACTGTATACAGTACAGTACCCACTCGCTACAAAAGACATGGCTTTTCAGTTTTTGTGCTTATGTGCTATTTCCTCTCTCTGGAACGTTCTTTTCCTCCTGTTCCCCACATCAACTCCTATTCATCCTTCACGGACCAGGTCAAATGTTTCTTCCTCTAAGGCCTCCCCAGACCTCTGCGTCCTTACACTCCTTGTGCACACAGCCAGGGCAGCTCTCATTGCCTGGTGTCGCTGTTATTTACCCTGGTGTGCCCCCATAGACTGGAGATATCTGAAGGCAGAAACCAGGCCTCCGTTGGCTCAGTGGCCTCGGAGCATAACACAAGGTGTCCACTCAGCGAGCCCTCACAACGTGCCTGCAGGGATGAGACTGAAGAAGGAACTCATGAACGACTGTGAACACTTGGCCTGTGTGCTTCAGATCCCTGCACGGCCTCCTTTAGGAAGTGGGGAAGCCTGCCCTCCCCAACCTCCTCCCCTGCTTCCAAAGACTGACCGACAAATTGGTGTGTTGGATTTATACCAAAGCCATGGTATAATTATGGCTTTTCTTTGCTTTTCTCAAGATTTAGATGTTAAGGAAGGCAGCCTACCAGAGAGGCTTAAAAAAACAATGGAGAAAACCAAGGTGAGGAAAGGAAGTTGCGTAGGTGAGGGTAGCGTATTTCCAGACGATCCTGGTTGATCAGGACCCTGTTTTTGGCTTGCTGTCCCTGGTAGAGTCCAGGGTTATTAAACTTACCTGAGCATTGTCTATGCTAACTAGAATTTCTTGAAAAGATATAGGTGACTATGGGGGAAACTGTGTTAGTCCGTTTTTATTGCTTATAATAAAGTACACTGAACTGGGTGATTTATAAAGAAAATAAATATTGCTTACAGTTTCTGAGGCCAGAAAGTCCAAAGTCCATCTGGTGGGGGCGACAGTGACCCAGGGGTCTCACATTGCAAGATGGTGGGAGCAGAGAGAGCAGGGGAGAATAAAAGGCAGACTCTCCTCTTCTTTTAAAGCCCTCAGAGCCACTCTCCTGACCACCGTTTTTAGTCCATTCACTACCACATGGTCCTACAATCTAATCACTCCTTCAAGGCTCCACCTTTCAATTACCATAATAGAATCTTCCACCCTCTTAACAGTCACAGTGGGGGCTAAGTTTCTAATACATAAAACTTGGGGGTCACAATTCAGGTTTCAGGGAGTTTGGGGGGGAGTTAATTCAATGCACTACAGGAACCCTTGCCTCAGACGGCCTGTGCTGCGCTTCCCTCCAGCCAGGGTACAGGTATCGAGCAGAATACTGAGTCTAGAGTCTCCCCTCAGCAGCTATCGCATCCTTATCTCTAGTCCACACCCTCCCACAAACACCCACCCAGAGCCATTCTGCAGTGACCATAACTGTAACTGCCCGGGACCAGTGACCAGCCAGCCTTGAAATGTTGCTTAACTTGATTAAGAAGAGGTCTTTTTTGTCTTTGGCTTTCTCTATCTTCAACCCAAGTTGTTAATTGACATTTTTATTGTAGAAAGGAAGCGGAGCAATTCTGAATACTGTGAAAACAAAAGCAAACCCAGCCATGAAGACTGTCTACAAGTTCGTAAGTACTGGTCTTGGACTCAGGATCCAAACAGATTGGTTCCTGAACATGACAAGACTCTTAAATATACCTGATGCTCTACTGCAGAGACCACCCAGGGGCTGCTATACTACTGCCTAAAGGTCTCAGTGCTTTTGGAATTACTTAGCATTGATATTTTATGGCCAGTTCAGTGACATTTTAAATTTAAGGTGTTGCCGTTCACAGTTGCTGCAATAAAGAAATGAGAGGCTGCTGGTTTTAGCTTTTAAGATGTGGGGTGGGTGACTAAAATTCAGGCTGCTCCATGCCCACGTCCCTGAGACCCAGAGGCATAGTCTGTCAGGTGTTCTGGCAAAGCTTTCCCGATTATGTCAAAATAAAGCAGCTCCTTTGCAGGTTACTGAAGAGTATTCATGGTGGGACACACCCCCTGATTTTTGTCCCAACTTATTCATCATCTCTCTCATCGCTGCCCTATTGGAAGTGCATTATTTGTGAGACTCATGCCCACAGCAGCATGAAAATAAGAGAACACATCAGGTCCTGATGCTCTGTCTCTTATAAGCCTCAAGTATTGTTTTTCTCTTGTGATTTCTCTTGCTAATTTAATCCTGAGCCACTGAAGTGGGGTGGTTTTATTTCCATTTTTAATTTTGTTAGTCCTTTCTGTGCTTAAATTGTAGTTATTTTAATAGGGCGAATAGCTGCCAACAGCACCTAAATGACATAAATAAAAGTCAGGGTGTCTGCCGAAATGGGATTTATGAAATGGCACTGAAGAAGCCCAGCAATGTGTCTGTTCTGGCCGTTCAGCCTGGATAGAAAATTGGTCCTAAGGCCCTGCCCTAGTGAAATACAATGGATATTCTGACTCTTGCAGCCAGAAAAGCTGCTGCTCTACCCTTACTAGTAGCTGTCACCAAGCTGCTGAGATAAATAATTATAGAGAGCAGAAGAAGGGCTTAGGAAGGGAAAAAAAAAAAACCTGTGCTATCAAAATGCAAAAAAATAAAATCTCTGCAGCCTGTTTAAGGGATTTTTTTTTTTAACCTTTTACCATTGTATTTGTTTTCATAGCCATTATGTTTTCGACTTGATGATCCCATTTTTCCTTCCTTTTTCTAGTAATAAGAGAAGGTAATTCTCGACGGACTGAAATCAAGCGTAGTCCCTGCTGGAAACAGAAAGGGAATCTTAACTTAAATTAATTTTTCATGCAGGCAAAAGATCATGCAAAAATGGGAATAAAAGAAGTGAAAAACCGCTTGAAGCAAAAGGTACTTGAAGTTCTTATTCAAAATGTATAAGCACCGTGTATGAAATGTGTGGCCACAAAAAAGTATGATGTGATCAATAGAGGGCTGTTTGATACAGTGTTGTTAGCACACTTCAAAATACATTACCAGCTGTCCAGGAGTTTTCACACTGTTATAAATATTCACAGACAAAAAACTGTCTTCAAATAACATTAAGACTCTGGCTTAATCCCACAAAGGTGAGCAAGTTCAGTACTACTGTTGGTCTGTCCCTTTCCTGCCCCACTGGGCCAGAGTTGACAGGCGTCTGGGGTTCACAAGGCTCAGCCTCCCTGTCCCTTCCCACCCCCTCCTGCAGCTGACCTCTGCCCAGGGCTGGTCTTAATCAAAACCAGGAATCATCTCCTGGGAAATGACTGCTGTAGTTCCAGCATGTACATGGCCACCATGCGACACGGTACAAGGGTGGGTTAGGGGCATGCTACGGGCTCTCTTCACCATGGTGGGTCAAATGAGAGGAGCCCAGCAGTTTATGTTTTTTGAGACTATGCAGGGACAGGGAGGCTCCGATTGTCTTCTTGTGAAATCATAGTGGCTTCATCCTGGCTCAGATTCTCCCAACCTGAATCTCTAGACTCATACAGTGAGGTTACTATAACAGGGAGGGCATTTATATATTATTTCGAACATTGTCCTTGTTATCGGTGTTGCCCCTCTTCGTTAAGCACTTGTTAAGGATAGTCCAGGCTAGGAGCTTTCACCTTTAATCCTTAAAACAATACCGTGGGGTATTACTCCCATTTCATGAGTAAAGGGACTACTGTTCAGAGGTGAAATAATTTGCCCATGGCCACACTGCTTGAGCCTAGCAGAGTCAGGATTAGATTCCAGATCCATCGACTTTCAGCATCCGTGTGCTTACCACTGCTGTATTTCACACTGGCTTCATAAAACAAGTGTTCTGCTCTACAAACGATGTTTGGGATCACTTACTTCGTTATCCTGACACCCCCACATGTATCATTCTAATAAGGGCCTTTGTCTAGCTCGGCAGTTTTATAAAAATTGAAAGCAATTTTAATTTTATGAAGTCAGAAAGGACCTCTAATTAACTCAAAATGGTCAAAGGAATTGATTCCTTTCTTTTAATTGGAAAATAATTTGCTCTGACTAAGCATTTAAATTCTTAATTTCAGCTGAGAGTGAATTTTTAGCAGCTGAGAATCGCATCCTGAAATAAAAACCCTGTAATGTAAATCCAGCTGGACCTTCACTGTAGTCACTTGCACCTTGCCAGAGACTGGCAGGTGGCATTCTTTGCTTGGATGTTATTTAAGTCCCTAAATATCTTTTTATTTCCTATCCCAGTTGCATGTAGCTGAGTTAGATTGCAGGTATAAAATGGAGTTTTGGGAAGGGGGGAATTTTCCCTCCTTGATATCTAGATTGTAGGCTCTGGTTGGTCTTAGAATATTACCTGAAGTTAAGCAAAGAAAGGGGTCCCTCCTCAGGCATAGGACAGATGTACCGTCATTGGTCAGATTTGCTCTCTGCAGACCGTTAAGCTAGAGACATCACCTTACCTTCCTACTTATATGTGCAAGCATTTGGCCTTAAGAAAATTTTCTTTTTATGATGTGTAACATTTCTGCAAATAAGCAGTTAAGCTCAGGTTTTTCAGTGTGGCCATTCAAAGGTTCATTTAAACAATCTAGACATGTTCTTTTCACGCCATCTCTCTTTCCATTCCTTGAGAGTATATAAAGCAGATTTTCCCCTCCCCACCTCTTCCCCCTGCCAGCCTTTTCAAGAATAGCTTCAGGAGATAATGTTCTACAGAGAGTGTCAGTACATTTCAGGTGACACAAATGGTGAAGGCATTTTATAGAAATGTGGCTTGTCACCATTGGACTGTTGACAGATCTATTAGTGCACCCTTTTCAATTTTCACTTTTCCCCCCTTCGGTCGTATAGATTTCCACAGACTTGATATTTTGCAGTTGTTCTTGGAAGAGAGCTGTTTGTAATTGAAACTCTAGTATTGTTCAGTATATACAGGACTTGGGTCTCTGGTGCTCTCCAGCTCCCTTTCTTGAGCTAATTTAGGATTTGCCTTTGCCTGACCTCTCTCACTGCAATAGAAAATATTTCTTGACTTTTTTGTTCCCCTCCCCACTGCCCCTTGCCCTTTACATGGCAACATATCTGTGTGGCTCCCCAGATGCGTCTAACACAGACATCTCAAGTTTGGTTTCTGCTATGAAATTGAGGCAGTTCCCAACAAAGATCCAATTTTCAAATGTGCTGGGCCGCCGCCTGGCCACCTCTAACTCTGCATAGCAATGGTGACCTCACAGATATAATCAAGAACCCAGTCCTGCCCTCTTCTCTCTCGCCTTGGGTTTGAATTGCAAATAGAAAATGTGGAGCTGACCTGTGGAGAGGTCGACATGGTGTATGGAGGGTCCATCTCTAATATGACTGAGCAGGGCCCCTTCTCCATCCCTTGTTCATTTGTGCTGCAGATTTTCAAAGCCTCTGAAATAGGAGCTTTCAGGATTATCTGTGTGACCATTGGCAAATAATTGTTAATAGATCCTGTAGTGTAGCTTTATTCCATATCTGCTCTGCTTCAGCCCAACAACAAAAAAAGGATGGATAACATAGTTCTCTGGATAAATGGAGCAAGGTGGTCAAGTTCCTTTATAGCCTGGCCTCTTTTGAAGTCTGACTTGCTCAAAATTAGGAAGAGGAAGAAATGGCAAAGACACTACCCAGCGGCCGCTTTCTAAGGCAGAGTGCAGTCTTTCCTCTAGAGCGTCTCCCTGCCAGACCTGGCCCGCAGGAGAATGCCTGGCTGCTGTGCTTGTGGCTGTCAACAAATCGCATTGCACTGCAGCACCAGACGAGGCTGGCATGAGAGCGCCCCGTGTCCACACACACGCTCCTCCTCATCTACGGGGAACATTAAGATAGTCACATAATGACATCCTTTTTTGCCTACTGACGAACCCCTGAAATTTTTATCATTTTTCTTCAGTATCAAAATGATTCAACCATACTATTTAAAACTGTCAGATTCTGACCAGCATCCCTTCCACCCCCGCCATTGATTCTGTGCCTTGAGTGTGTCTGTGTGTTTACACCCACCCCTATGCAAGCGGCCCCCCTGCCCTCCACAGAATTGAGTTCCAAGGGCTGTACCAGACAACTGCCAGTGTCACTGAGGGCCCGGGTCCCAGGCTCCAGGCTCCTTTAACCTAAATGTAGCTCCTCAGCACTAACCTAGGAACTGCTGCCGCTTGCTGAGGGGCCCTACCCCTCATGCCCTCGCCCCAGGCCCAGGTTCTTCAGCATTGAACACTTCCTTGCTTTTTTCACATCTTATGGAATTGTTCACCTGCTTTGAAATAATAAAATGCAGGGGGGAAAATGATTTAACCAAATGGGCCCATTTCACAGTCCTTTGTAAAGTTTCTAAATCCTTGATCTTTAAAAGACAAATCTAGCAATCTTTGTCTTTTAGTATTTTGAATAGAATAATATTGAGTGAAAAGAGTCAGGCAGAGAAAAAGAAATACCACATGTTCTCACTTTTGTTGATGTAGAGTCTCAGTGATAGAAAGGAGCAAATTCACAGTTGGTTTAGCAGAGGCTTGAGTTTCTGGCCAGACGTTTCTTATTGAAGGCAGAGAGTCAGCGTGTGCAGGGCAGGGAGATCTAGGTAGACTCTTGTAGAACAGACATTTTCACACCTTAGTACACATCTGTCAGCTCCCTGTCTCCAGACACATTAAAATACACTGCAGCCTCAATCACAGAAATCCCAGCTTTGGCTGCTATTTTGATATCAGTATTCATATTTTAATTTGCATTTGCTGTGGTGTGAGGTAGGCTGGAAAAAGCAGGGCACTGCCTGAATCTGAAAATGGAGACAGGTAGTTAGTTCTCCCACCTGCAACCTGAGTCAGACAGGAAGGCCTCTGGCTCATACCCATGGGAGCCTTTAAATTCTCCCCATGGTGACAGGGTATTTAGGCTTCTGAGGTAAACGAGCTGTGTTCACTGCTGGTTGTGTATTAACTGTGTGACCTTAGGTAAGTTACTTGACCTCTCTGAACCTAGTTTTCCTCAATCACAGACTAGGGGAAATAAAGATTTTTACTAGATTATTGTAAGGATTAGAAGAGGTAATGTGTTGAAAGGCAACCAGTAGCCACCCAGTAAACAAGAGTTTCCATTCTGTCTGTTTTCTTATATCCACATCTGGAACAGCCAATCTGCCCCAATACCCACATGCACATAACCCGAGAACATGGCTGGCATGGGATCACCTCCCTTTAGGTGTCCCACACAGCTACCAGAGGAATCTAGTACACAGCTCTGCCCGAGTCACTCCCTTGGCTAAACCCTCAGACCTTTCAGACCTTCCCGCTCCTAGCCTTGGGCGGCGGGTGGAATGTCCCAGCTGCTGCACTGGCCGCCATTCCTTAAACAGGCCCTGCTCTCTACCTTCCCTGGGCCAGGACTGCTCCACTCTCATGTCTCTGTCTCACGAAGATGTGTCCTCACCTCCGTTTGTGTCCATCCCCCACCCCAGCTTCTTCCCAAAGCCACTCAGAGCCCTGTTTGTCCTCTGGTCTCCTGAGACCCTGATCCCTGCCTCTCTGACTTCTCATGGAAACGCATGTCCGAGGACTTATCGTATGCTGTGCGTGCCTTCTCTACAGAGGGGTAGAGGTTAGATCTCAGTCTTGATTTTTGATTCCAGTAAATGCTCCAGAAGGTGATAGGAATACAATTATTTTCTGACTCCTTTGCTTTACCAAGGGATAGGAACTGGTAGGACCCCAGTGCTCTGAGCTGAGCCCCAGGCTCCTGGGAAGAGATTTGCCACCCTGTAGTGACCTCAGATCTGTACCTCTATCTTGGGTCTTCCTCCTGTGTGTGCTTTCAGGAAGGAACAGGTTTACCCCTGTAGTCAGCTTCTTGTTTTTGCCTTTTTAAAATGACATTTAGAAGGTCAGTTTTTTCCTGTTTGCAAACGAAATACATGTTTGTTGGGGAAAATTCAACAAATCAGTGAAGCAAAAAGAAAGTAATCTTTTTTTATAATCTGTATTTTCATTTACTATATCCTGATGTCATTGTTTTAAACGGATACAAAAAATTTTATCTGATGGACATATATACGTACATTATTAAATCAATCCCATTGTTGGACACTTAAGTTAGTTCCAATTTTTTCTAGGCAAATATTCTCATAGATAAGACTTTGCAGGAATTCATATTATTTTATTAGGATAATCTAGAAATGGAATTAGTGGGCTAAAGGATGTGTACTTCTTTTAGGTTTTCATATAAATTGCCAATTTACATTCCCACCAGAAGGGTATGAAGTGCCTATTTCCCCACCCTTTACTGACACCCTAAGTTAATTCTTAGGCCATAATTTCTTTAGTCATGGGTATGAAAAGTTGCTGTTGTTGGCTCCTTACTATGTGTAAGATCTCTGCTAGTGGATACAGCAGAGGATGTGAACTAGCCCTATTTCTTTCTTGACTTGGGTTCCTCCCAACTCTGCTCCCTGTGGCATCCTGGGGGGAAGCAGTTGTCCTTCCCTAGGTGAAGGAAATAGGGAAGAAGTTAGTAAATGGGTGAGGCAAGCTACAGGACTTTGTAAGAAATCTTTTGCATGTTTGTGCCTTCTAACTAGATAAAATGAATGTGCAGCACTGCCTTTTGACCAACAGGCACATATGTATATCGGACGCATTTGCCTTCCAAACATTCAGTTCAACTTTTCAAAGATCTGTCAGAGAGCAAGTACTAGATTCAAGGCTCTGGAGTAGAGAACCCAGACCCCAAGGAACTCACAGTCTGTAGGGATACAAAGATAAGGTAGCATAAGGCATGGCAGCAGATTATCAGTGTAACAAGAGGGGTTTCTTTTTTTTTTTTTTTTTTTTTTTTCCCTTTTTTTTTTTTTTT